GAAATAGAACTTCCAGAAGTACTACAGAATGTGCCAAGTACAAGGGGATAAGCGTTCCAAGTAAAGGGGAGTATTTGAAGAGAAATTAATGGCAACATGTTTTAGTAATAAATTTTAAAAAATTTAAACAAACCATATTTTTAATCATACCTCATATACTACCAAGTGAAACTATGGTTCCAATTTTCTCTTTTCAATTCAATAGGAAAAAACTTAAAAATACTTACTCTATACTCACTTCGAAGCACAAAAGTAAATCTTCTCTAAAGCTTCAGAATCATCAGCTCCTTACCCACATTCAGAAAACAGAATCTGTATGGAATTCTGTATCTATACTTTCTATAACCACGAATTCAACTAACTAGATTGAAAATCAGGCGAAAAACGCACCTGTACTCAACAGTACAACTTTCGTTATTATTTACCAAACAGCACAGCACGAACACTATAGCATATATATAAAGCATCTACTGTAAGTAGAGAAGATTTAAGAAGCACGAGCGTTCCTGTGCAGAGGTCCTATGTAAATATTTACATAAAGGATGGTGTGCACCCTCAGGGACCCAAGGGGCCTGGAGTCAATCACCCGAGTGAGGTATAGACTGTACTTGTAACCTGCAACCCCTCATCAGCTTAGGCCCTTGTACCAGGGTCTCATCTCAGACACGTGACACTCGCATCCCTTACCTCACCACCACCAGGAAATTTTGAAACAAAAATCCTTTTGTCTCATTTACTTCCACCTTCCAAAAACTTTAGACCTTGTTACATTTGAAGTTAATGGTATTTTCACTCAAATAAGTATCAAGTTATTTCCTGATTTGTAATATTCAACACAAATGCTGAAAATGTACAGCTTCAACTGTAAGAGGAAAGTATCTATAGTGTGTAGGACAAGCTATCTGTACTTAGAACAACCTGTATGTGGAGACACCGTACCAAGTTCCTCAACTCCAGCCAGAGTCTGAATTTCAAACTCCACTCAAATTTTACCAAGTTCGTTGCTTTGTCCGCAAGGTTTCCATCTGTAAAATGGAGATGCCTCCCCACTGCACAGCATTCTCACTAAACAGTGGTGCGAAGCACTTAATACATATTACTGCACCTTGATTCTCTGCTCTAGATTTTCGTATCACAGTTGCTCTGTTTACTGATAGATATTGTATTCTCCTTTAAATCAGAATGGCAGAAGTAGGGGCACCTTTCCCACAAAGAGATGGTATCATCAGCCTTGTTGGCCAGACGGTCTCTGTAGCAACTGTTCCCTTCTGCCACTGCAGCAGAACAGCAGCCAGAGACACGGGTACAGATGAGAATGGTAACTCCATACCAATAAAAACTTATTTACGGAAAACAAAATTTCACATCATTTTCATGCTACAGTCGTCTTTGATTCCATACTTAGCTTCTAAACCATACAAAAACAGGCTGCAGATCAGATTTGGCCGACGGGTGATGGTTTGCTGATCTAGATGGATATGAGCTTTCCACAAGCTCTGTGGGGGCAGAGAGACATAAAACAAGGTTGGTGCTACAGAATAAAGAGAAAGCTAAGTACTACAGAAAAAGAAACACATTAATGCTATCATCCATTTATTAACATTGGACTCAACCATGTACAAAACACGGTACAATGCAATGCTGGGCTCAAAGATGAACTCAACACTTCCTGTTCTCAGGGAGCCTATCACTTTCTGCAGAAGCTCAGAAACTAAAGGTTTCTGCCAAGAATAGCACATCCCTCTCAGATTTTTACAATGCAGATGTGTGTCCCTTGAGTGCCCAGGAGTTTCTCTGGTGTCTCCACATATGCCTAAGCCATACTCGATTACACTGACACCTTGAGCTTCCTGCCTTCCAGGAATTTTACAATCACTTGTACCCTCTTCTTTCAAATTGTTGTTTTGCATTAATATTTTTTGAGCAATATTCAAGGTAATGTACCAAAAGTCAACCACTTTCATTTTAAGAATAAGAAGGACTATTTAAACTGGGCATGGTGGCACACACCTATAATCCCAGCACTTGAGAGGCTAATGCAGGAGATTCACCTCAAGTTCCAGAACACACACACAGCCTAGGACACACAGTGAGTCCAAAGACAGCCTGATCTACATAGCAAGACCTTCTCTGAAAAAAATCAAAATCAACACCAAAACCAAAAACCAAACACATCAAACCACTTAAATCAATTAATCTTCAAAGATAACATCCTCCTTTTAACAGGTAACATGTTAGCAACTCCGGTGGTTTTTTATTTCAATTCAAATAGAAAAAAACCTGTCCCTGTGTGGCAGGGTCTACTTAAGGCAAAAAAGATACATCAGAAAAATACTTTTCCACTCTCTTAGTCAAAAAGAAAAAAAAAAAAAAAAAGAAAAACACAAATACTTTTTTTTAGAGTAAAACATTAAGTATTTTATCCAAAAGAACACAAAACAAATAAAAAAAATAATACAGCATCCTAGTATACTCTAGTTGACTCTAAAGATCATAGATTTTAAAAAATACAGAAGTTAAATGTCAATGAATTAGAGCGAACGAAAAATAGACATTAACATAGTGATTAAGAAAAAAAATAAACTATTTATAAAAATAATTAACTATTAATTTGGGAATGGAGGGTAAGGGAGATTGCTCCTGGGGCCTCTCCACTGAGCTGCAGCCCCAGCCCTTCCCTGTTTTTATTTTAGACAGTGTCTCATCCAGCTGCCCAGGCTGAGTTCAAAGCTGTGGTCCTCAGCTTCACGAGCCTCTGGGATTACAGTCATGTACCACGGCGCCTGGTTTAGTAAGTATCATCTTTACAACATATGATTAGCAAGAGTATTAACAATATTGTCATGACTAATATACTTGAATGGAATTCACCTCATATACCTCCCTTCCCAGAAAGATCTGTATTCACCCGAGTGTGGTGGTACACACCTCTAATCGCAGCTGTCAAGATGCTGAGGCAGGATTGTCAAATTCCAGCTAGATTGGGCAATTTGGCAAGACCTTGTGTCAATTTAAAATAAAAAGGGCTGTGAGTAGAGCTCAGTAGCAGAGGGCTTGGCTGGCATGCACAAAGCCTTGGGTTCAATCTCGAGTATGAAAAATAAATAAATAAAAATAATTACCTGTATTCTATACCTTAAAGAAAACAGAACATAACAACAAACAGTATAGTAATATTCTGGTGTTTAAAATCATCTCATCAAAGCTAGTCATAGTAGTGTGTTCTTGCAATCTCAGCACTTTGGAGACTGAGGCAGGAGGATTACTGAGACTTCATGGTCATTTTAGGCTACATGAGTTGAGGGCCGGCCTGAATTACACAGCAATACCCTGGTTAAAAAGAACAACTCATAAGGAAAGGATCTAATCACCTCAGCAGAATTACAAATCAAAACAGTGCGGAAGGCAGAGACTACAGAGTAACTTAAAAAGACCCCCCTCCCAAAAAGTTGAGAAAGTGAAATATTTGATTGAGACCAAAAGAGAGTAAAAACTTCAAAAGAAATGAGTTTTGGAAAGAAACTAAGGAAAGAAACAAGTAGCTTGATTTAGAAACAGTAACAATAACAAAGCAGGATGTGGTGATAGGTCCCTGATGCCAGCTCTTGGGAGGCTAAAGGAGAATTCAAAGTTTAAGTACCATCTGGACAACTCAGCAAGACCCTGTCTTAAAATAAAAAGTGAAAACAGGCCAGGGAATATATCTCTCGTACAGCACCCTTGCATTTAATCCCATACGCACATAAAGTTTTAAAATTAAAAAAAAATATAAAAGCAATTAACATGTCCTTGCCATTCTCAGATTTTTCAACTACTCTGTCAGCCTCTCAAGTCACTCAGGAAATGATGACAGGCAATTAGTTGGGGGCACAATTCAATCCTATGAGAAGGTGGTCGCTCCAGAAAATCTCCCAAGGAACATGGTGGCTGGCAGCCCTTTTGGCGTGTATAGTCACAGGGGTTTGCTGTTTAATTTGTACTACTTTGTTCTGATACAGTGAGGATTTCCAGGAAATTCTTGAACACTTCCAGGAGTACTTTACAGTCTGCAGACTAGCACTGTGACTCACAAACACCTCAGTACTTTCCCCTCACTGCCTGAGTCTCACGGATAAGCCTGAAATACCGAGTTCTCCTCTGACCACATCCATCACTGTCTAACCCGTGCCTTTTGCTAGCTACATGTCATTCTTCATTATCCATACTGCTCAAAGCAGAAATTCACTGGCTCAAGGAAACCCAAAACCCTTTCTAGCCAGGGTGGCAAAAGTGCCTGAAATCCTGGCATGCTAGATGGGTGAGTAAGGAGGACCACAAATTGCAGCCCAGCCTGATGAAAACCTCCCTCAGGAATAATGAACGAATGAATGAACAGGGATGCCAGGTAGAGGCTGAGGCAGAAGGATCACTAAGAGTTCAAGACTTCATAGTGAGTTTAAGACCAGCCTAGACTAAAGACCTTGTTTAAAAAATAAATAAAAAATTTTTTAAAAGGCTGGGGATGTAGCTCAATCCCCAGTAGCAGCGAGTGGAGAAGTCTGAGCCTTGTGAAACGAATTCTCAGGCCAAGGAAAATGTCTGCCCTCTTACTTTTCCATGTATCAGAGCTGGAAAGCATTTTTAAAAAATCCTTTGAGAACCAGGCATGGTGCTTCGCCTGTGATTCCAGCACTCAGGAGGATGAGGCAGCACTGCATTGAATTCAAGGCCAGTGTGAGCTACACAGTGAGTTTATGGACAGCCTGGACGAATGTACAGTCACAGCTACCAAATAGAAAAGGACTGTCAATGAAATTCGGTCCATAAAAAAAGCTACAGGGGAAATTCAATTCTAAAAAATACTTCCATTTAGCTTCTACATTACAATTTTACCAACTTCAAAATCATACCTTTGTTTTTAGAATTAGTGGTCATTCACTGTGTGAAAGCAGACAAGCAAATATTTTATTGACTAACTCTGCTGCTTTTAATATGAAGCTTTTAATAATAAAAACAAGATGTTAGAAAATTTTGGCTTTATTAATCTCCCTTATAATACTGAATACAAATGTAAAATTAAACGATGATGCAACCTTACAAAGTTTATTTCAAAGCACCATCACTTACGTTTAAATGTAGAACAGATGTAAGTCATAGGTGGGAGGGGAACCAAACAACCAAATCCAAACAGAAAACCCCACACATTTACTTATATATTATAATATTTGAGCTATAACCCTTATGACATTCATTCAAAGAGTACTTTCTTCTGATTTTCCATTAATTTCACTAGCATTAAATTTTGAACCAGGTCCTATGATCTATCACAAATTTTCCTGTTATCAGTTAAAAGAAACAGGCAGATGTGTATGACAGGTACTGTATGAAACTTACCATGTATACTTTGCCCTCCCTATCTCCATAATAATAATAATGTTTAAGTTATGGAGTCAGCCAGCCACAGAGTAAAAAATAGGGAAAAAAAGCTCCAAGACACAACCAGGAATTTTCCAAGTACACAGCACTGTGTGGAATCTACAGAAATGGGGCGCTGTGTGGCACACCCTGCTTTGGCATCCTGCCGCCTCCCAGCTCCTGGGTTCCCCCTAGTGCTCACAATTTACCACTGCACGTCTGGCGACCGGCTGGGTATGTATGATTAGGCCCATGTGTTTCTGTCTGGACAGAACATCTACAGACTTCTCTTCCTTGTCTTTATTCCCTAAATAACACATCAAAAGCTATTTACATAGTACTTACATTTTGTAAGGTACTGTAACTATGTAGAGATGACAAAGTAACATGGGAGGACATGCGTACCATATATGCAAACACTGTGCCATTTTACAGGAAGGATCCTAGCCTCGGGACTTCGGTGTCCTCACAGGGTCCTGGAATGAGTCCCCCAGTAATGAGGGAGGACTGCAGTTGAACTGCACATATAAATTTCAAGACTTGAACTATGATTGTCATAAAGCCCAATGACAAAGCCTGCCTTTCAATCTTTTTGTATTTTAATAAGAAATGATTTAATATGTTAATGTAGAAATACACCCTACATCTCAACATCAAAAAGCTATGACATTTAAAGAAACAATAAAATTATGCATTTTAAAACTAAAAACACATCAGAGATATCTTAAATTAAAAAATTCAGTTCTAAGTGGGAATTGTTACTGTGTAACATACAAGGTCGTATCAAAAGTGCTGGTGACAAAATCTGTTCACACACATAATATCTATCCACAATAATAACAAGATTATAAATGTTTAAGGTGCTTGAAGTTTGCACTGCAGGACTAATTTGATCAGTATTCATCTTGCTACCGCTTTGGAGCAACTCCAGTTTGGATGATCCGCAAACAAAAAGCTGCTACTTTCTGAAATGTGGCATTTGTGGAGCTGGAGTGCCCTCTATTGGTAAGGAAGAAGACACACTCATCAGCTGTCCTGAATGCATTTTCTCATTGATTCGGAGTTCACATCCATCCTGAAGCATTCGAACTGCTATTTTGGCAATGTTTTTAGAATCATCAAGACCACTGTGAGGCCGACCATCATAGTCCATTCCTAATTTCTCAAGCATTATCGTCAGTTTGGTTTGGCTTCTAGGAACCTGAAAAGTAAACAGCTTAGAATAAATAATTCTTTACTATTCTAAATAAAGCCAAATTAAGTTGAAATATAAGAAACTGAAAATTAACAGTAGCAAAATTAAGTTGGGCAACAGGCAATATTCTTGATCAAATAAGGAAACAACTGAAACTTTAAGATCTTAGTTTAGCTGAAAACAGAATCCTCAGATATAAAAACATTTACAGTTTTGAAATTTAAGAAAAATTTATTGTAAGTATATATTTGCTCTGGACATCTAAGTTGAAGATCTACCTTTTAAATCTAACTTGTGTGTATGGTATTTTCTTGTAATTACTTTATTTGAATGATTCCTTAGAAAGACACAAAGGCTATCCTACTCAGATGACTAAAAGTAATGAAGAATAAAAGGTGATGTGTGGTACTTTATAACTTAGCTGAAAACTTGCTACATTTTGATAAATACAAAAAGCACCTACATTTCCAGACTCTAATATGCTCCTTCACTTTTATATTTTCTTCATTTCTCTACCAAGAATGTTTGTCAAGTTTTCCATTCTGCAGTTTGAGTAGCCATGTTACCTATGCATCTTGGAGCTTTAGTTTAGCTTCTTCATCTATACAATGGGACTAAGATCTGTGTTATTTACTCAGAGTTACCAGTAGAATGACAAAGCGAATGACATAAAAGCCTTTGATAAACATTAATAATTATTTTAAGCTGTAATAATTCAATGCATTCTGTTCCTTCCACTACGTATTACTTAAAAAAGTGCTTATAAAAATTTTTTCAATACACTGGGTACCTGAGGAGGAAGGAATAAATTCCCAAAAGCATACAACCTACCAAAACTGAATCTTAAGCAAAGAAAACCTGAATAGGCCTATTCCCAGTAAGGAGAGTGTATCAGTAACTGAAAATGTTCCATAAAAGAAAAGCTCTGAACCCAAAGGTTTGAGTGCTGAGTTCGCCAACTCTTCTCAAATTACTTCAAAACTGGAAAGAACACTTTCTAACTAATTTTATAAGGCTCACCTCATTTTGATGCTAAATGAAGATAAAAATCCCAAACAAAATATAAGCAAATCAGTATACTGAAAGGGATACACACCATGACTAGATAGGATTTATTCCTGGAATGCAAAGATAGTTCGACATATGAACATGAATACAATATACCATGTTAATAGAAAAAGGGAGAAAAATCACATGACTATCTCAACTAATGGTACAAAAAAGCATTTGACAAAATTCAGCAACTTTCCATGGCAAAACAAGCGCCAGAAGTAAACTATCCCAACACAATAAATTTTTATCCCAATACAATTTTACTCTGCAAAAATCCCATTCAACAGTGAAGCACTGCAAGGTTTTCCTTCTAAGATTAAGAACTAGACAAGACACCCATATTTGTCTGTTCAACAAAATATTAGAAGTTCTACCCAGAGCAGTTAGGCAAGAAAGAAAGCATCCAAAAAGAAGGAAAATTATTTCTATTGATAAATGATATATTCTCTTACACAGAATATCCTAAATATCACACACATACACACACCCTATTAGAGACAAGCATATTGGCTCATGACTATAATGTTAGCAATCTGGTTGACTGAGCAGAATTGTAAGTTTGAGCCCAACTCGGGCAATTTAGGCAAGACTCTGTCTGTCTCAAAATCAAAAAAATCAAGTTTAGGATGTAGGTCAGGGAGGAGGCCCTGGATTCAATCTCCAGTTTAAAAACAAACAAACAAACAACAACAAAAAAAAAAACCTCAGCTGATAAATACAGCAAAGTTGCAAAATTGAAATCAACACACAAAAATCTGGTACATTACTAAACACTAATAATGAATAACCCTAACTGCAAATTTTTTTTAAATTCCATTTTAAATCACATCAAAAAGAAGTATTTAGGAATAAACTTAACCAAGAAAACTAAAGACTTGTATATTGAAAACAAGGAAATAGTGCTAAAAGAAATTTAAACAGTCACCAATAAATGGGAAAATACCCAATGCTCATGGATTCCAAAACATAGATAAATATTATCCAAATGATTTAGATTTATTGCAGAAATTCCAAACATTTTTTTGGACTCCTCCGATAACTCCATGTGAAGATTTAATGTGGAAATTACAGGGCACCCAAATAGCTAAACCAATCTTGATAAAGTTGGAGACCTCACACATTCTAACGTCAAAATTTATTAGAGGCCTACAATGATCAAATGGTACAGTACTGGCGTAACAGATACAAGATAATGGAACAAAACAGAGAACTAAAATTAAACCTTCATACACACACACAGTCAAAAGTGCCAAGACCACTCAACAGAGAAGACAGTCTTGGGAAAACTAGGAATCTGCATGAAAAACAATGAATTGAACATTACCCTATGACGTATGCAAAAATTAATTCAAAATGGATCAAATCTAAATCTAAGAACTGAAATCATAAAAATTCTTAAGAAAAGGAGAGTTTCATAGCATTCAATTTGACAATGATTTCTTGGATATAAGCAGGAAAAAAAAGTCACAATTCATCAAAAATGAAAGACTTTTATGCAACAAAGGACATTCTCAAAAGGGTAAATGGTAACCTATGAAAGAAAATATTTTGAAGTAACATACCTAATAAGGAACTAGCACCTACACTAAAGAACTCCTAAAACTTAGTACCAATAAAAAATAACCTGCTTAAAACTGGCTACTGTCCACCCTAAGAAGGGAGATGAGTAAGTGAATCTCTACACCATGGTTTGTACAAAGTGGACTTCCCACAAACCAGTGGTGTGACACCCTGGAAGTAATGGGCTACAAGAGCACCCCCTCTACCACAGAGGTGAAGAAACTTCATCACAGGCCAGATACTGTGGCATTCTGTGAAATCTGACATTATCAAAAGTCCACCAAACTTCTAATTTGCACATTCCTTTTCCAGCATCTGTTATGAGAAATTACTCCTATCTTCAAAACAGATCTACACTTCAGAGCATAGTGATACTTTGCAAGACTGAAGCCTATACTGTCAAGACAAAATTCTGTATACTATCCAGGCCCAACATGTAATAATGATGCCAGAAGATATCTAGCTAGCATACCACATACACAGATAATAAGTTTAGAGATCTACTTGATAAGAAACACTTTATCCTCAAAGACATGAAGAAATGAAGGAAGAATCAAAGAAAGAAAAAAAAAAAAAGCATACACCCACAAAACTTTTTTATTGATAGTTCTAAACCTGTATTTTCCCTGGGATCAAAGGCATCTAAGAGTATGATTTCAAGTGGAAAAACGGAAGCCAGAAATCAGGAATTGACAGCTTTCAACAAGGGGACTGAGATGAAAAGTAAAGGTCACGAAACCACGAGGCCAGAATTTGCAGAGTGGTATGAGGAAGAGCTGCAAGATCCAGTCTACTCAGCAGACACTTTCGTCACCAACCAGTTGAGCAAGGCCCTAAAAGACCCTGAGGAAAAAGTTCTAACTTCACGTGATGAGATTCTTGGATTTCTGGGGGGAAAACAAAGAAACTGAAATGTGTTACATCTGTGAGCCAATCGCTTACAGTGAATGCAATCATTGTGTACTGCAAACATGTATTAATAAAATTAAAAAACAAAAACAAAACATTTTTGGATTTCAAAGAAAATGAAATCTTTGGAAGTAATGTATGTTGCAACAGAAAATTTTAAATGCTCACAATTTTGTGTGTGTGTATGTGTGTGTGCTTGAGCTTCATAGGCAAAATAAGCCTCACTGAAAACAATCTGAAAAAACTATGGAAGAAAATTATTTTTCTTCCCTTTCAAAACCACAGTAAGACACGATGACAGATCTTTTGTCTGAATCTTCTGCTCAGCCTACAATTCTGCCTCTGAGAAAAGAGCTTTGGAGGTGACACTTTCAGCTATACCTTCAGAAACTTGTGGATTTCTAAGAGTATCCAGCCACTTAAGGAAAGCAATGAACTTTCCACGGCATTTCCCAACTTTCTACACACATAAGCAAGTCTTTTGGTTAAGCAAACATGTAGAGAAAGGGCAGAAAGTGTTTAATTTCTGTGAAAAATGAAATTCATGTTAGCTTACCTTAAATTCAATCTAGAATAGGTGGGTTGTATTAGAAGAAAACAAAAAAACTAAAACAAGCAAATATTTCACTGTTATAGAGGTATGTTTTATACTACACTTCTACCCCAAAATTAGCATTTTAAAATGTAAGTCCATAAGAGAAACAAATACATTTGTATAATTTTGTAAATGTTACTAATCACATTTGGGTTTGATATATTATACAAAAAAAGAAATTGGAGTTCTTTCCAAAATCTTGTATAAAAAATTGTTAGGATGTGTTTTTATTCACTTTGCTTTAGCCACTTTCAGAAAAAAAAGTGAAATCTTATTTAAGTAAATTACTTCACAGAAATATCTTTGCTTGTCTTACCAGTTGTAAATTTATAAACCAGTTGAACCAACCAAGATCTTGAACCAAGTTCAGGTTTAATTACCAATTTCTGCCTTCTATCCTCAAGAAAGGCTAGGTGAAAAATAATTTTTCCCTTTAAAAAAACAAAACAAGAATATCTAAAATCATATATAGACCAATCATTGACCATCTTGCTATCAGCATCATATATAGGAGAAATTTGTGGTAGAACTTTTAGGTTTTCTTGGATATGGTTAACAAAACCATAGAAGGAAAATTTTTAAAAAGAAAAACGCAAGTTTCTTCTATTTACAGCAGTAACTGACATTATGATTAGCACATTGAGTAAAAAACTATATATATGAGTAGGCTAATACTGACCAAAATTTCCTCTATCAACAGAGTACTGGAAATTTTACTGCCTTGTATCTATAATTTTATAATTAAATAAATGTATTGTGAGCTGTGATTTTTTTTTTTTTTTTTTTTTTTTTTTTTAGTCCTTTAGGACTAAACCCAGGATATTCACATTGAACTACAATCCCCAGCTTTTTTATTTGCTGAGACAGGATCTCACCAAGTCACTAACATGCCCTAACTAGGAGATCCTCCAACTCAGTATTTCAGGGTACTGGGATTAAAGGTCTGCACCAGTATGTTCAAGTCTGCACTGTAGATATTTTTATGCACATCTAAAAATTTTTAAGATGTAATTAAGGAGGCTTTAAATAAATTCTTCTTCTAAATTACAGGTTTGAGAAACAATACCCTAAAATATGAGAATGCACTACCACCTGGGACTTGTAGCAAAAACATAATCTAAGGCAACCAAATCATAAATTTTAGTACAAGTTTAGATAGTTTAAGACTACAATGCAGCATGTAGCAGTGTACTACTAGTGTAATACTAGCAAAATTCAGATGCATGGGAACACTACAGAATATAACTATTTCTTTAAAAAAAAAACACTTGCTACAGGGAAAGAGACAAAAACAGAATTTGTAGATTAAAAATACTAAAAACACAAGAAAGCAGATACATCGATCATTGCAAATGTATGAAGCTTATACTAATGGTAACTCACGTAACACATAAAAAGTAAAGAAACATTTGTGATAAGTAGATGACAATAAGGAATTATCGTTAATTTTTTAGATGTGATAATGGTACGATTGTGTTTTCAAAAAAGTCTTCAGCTTTTGGAGATAGTTAAATATTTACAGATCAGATGAGATGCCTTTTCTGACTCAAAATAAAAAAAGTGATAATACAGGTAAAATGAGATTGTCAATGAGTTTGCAACCAGGTCATGAGTGTTCATTAGCCTTTCTATTTCTATATTAAATGTCTGGAAGTTTCCATAATGACAAGTTTTTTAAAAACTGTAAAATGAACCAGGTATGATGTACATCTAGCACTCAAGATACTGAGGCAAGAGAATGGCATAGCCCACACTACATACTGAGTTAAAAGCAATGTAGACTACCCAGTGAGACCATGTCAAAGAAAACAAAACAAAAACACAAAGTAAAACCCACGAAAAAAAAGAATAGAAAAAAAATCAAAGAAAATCAAAGAACTAGCATCTAAAATAAAGATCTATAAACCAGTAACGAACGGAATAGCAATTTTTTAAAAAGCGGACACAAACTTACACAGGAACAAAAGAAAAAGGACACAAGTCAAAATGGAGAGTAAGCATGGAAAAAAGGACTTCAATCTCAAGGGTTACAGGTAAACGTAAGTTAGAATCTCCGTGAGATGGCATCCTATATCCACTAGATTTACATTTAAAGTATCTACCAATGGACCAGACCATTCAGGACCCTCCTAGAAATTCAGGAGCTATTTTCACTCACTTTCTCTCCTTCTCCTTATTTCTAATAAAACTTTTCTAACCTCAAAATAAAACAAAATAAAATAAAATGTCTACTAATACAATATCAGGTGTTGGCAATGACAAAGATCAACTGTAAACTCATGCACTCACTGCTAAGTGTGCAAACCAGCACGATTCTTTTCATAAACAACTTTTCCATTATCTAATAATGTGAACAACATGTGTAACCTACGACCCAGCAGCTGCATTCCTAGGTTTATACCCTAGAGAAAGTGCCATGGAGTACACAAACGCAACAGAAATCACAAGCAAGAATGTTTACAGTATCATTGGTCAAAAAAATCCCAAGCTAAAAATAATCCAAATGACCAAAGTAGAGCAGATAAACCAACGCTACACTCACACAATGGAATTCTACAGAGCAATAAAGTGAATGAACTGCAGCTGTACACACAACTTGGCTGGCTGTCGAGCAGAATAAGGAAAAGAGCGAAACAAATAATACTGCCAGTGAAATGCATTATGATCTCTTGCTCACAAGGCCAAAATCAAACTGTATGGTATAATGATATAGATATAAGTATGAACTGTAAGGAAAAGCAAAACAGTGATTACCATGAAAGTATGAAGCTCCAGAAGAATAATACGTACACCTGTGTATGTCTATGTATATACGGTATGTGTATATATGCTTGTATATACATATGTATGTATGTATATAGATACATATATATATTGCCTATATTTAAAAAGTTAATAGGTCAAGGGAAAAAAGGCTTAGCCTTCTAATTTGAAAATAAGTGATACTCTGATTAACAGTAACAAATACACATCCTTTCCTGTGAAAAATACCAGAAAAATCACGATTTAATGTGCATGGAAAACAGCAAACTTCTCAAGAGCATAATCATTAAATACAGTAATTTTACCTTATAAAAGTTTCCGTATGACTTTCGAACATTGATCCACTTTTTAGCAAAAGAAGGATACTTGAGTCTGCAGAGTTGGCACTGAATGTTCAAGAACTTACTCATATCCCATGAACTTATAAACCAAAAAAAGAAAAAATGCACAAAATAAATGCTTTATCATTCTTACAAATAAGTGTTTTCAGTTGCTATTTTTTCTGTGTCAACCTTCTCATCTACACACAATAGCTAGAAGATTAACCTTATTTCAAAATGTCCATTAAAAAGGAAATAAAATGAAACTAGCCATATTAACCTTAATGTTTTACAGTTCTGATTCATGGGCAGATTTCTACATTGCTGAGTATTTTTTTTGTAATTCTTAAGTAACTGCTAGTCTAATGCATAATGGCAGTATTTATTAATTCTCTAGTAAGCTTTTTAAGGGCACACTTTCAACTAAAATAAATGCCATAATTTTTTTTAAAAACTTAAAGAGAAAAATTAAAAGAAGCTAAAAATATAAGCTGTCCTGCCCCAGGACATATTTCTATAATACAAATCAACTTTTTATAATCAGAAAGGCCTACACAGCAACATGGAAATTACGTTGGTACATGGATGTTTTTTCCCAGGCAAAAGGAATCAGAATAGCAGCAGAAATTATAATCTTTAGCAGAAAATAAAGCCCTCAATTCAGTTGCTTATTCTGACAACAGGAGTACTTTCAACTGTGCTTTAAGAAAATTAAGCTGGGTACAGCTGGTGCACACCTATAATACCATCATTCGGATAGGCTAAGGCAGGAGGACTACAAATTTTGAGTCCTACCTGGGCAATCGAGCCATTTAACAAGACCCCGTCTCAACATAAAAAGCAAAAGGGCTGGAGATATAGCTCGGCAGAAAAGCCTCAGGTTCAATTTTCAGAACAACAATAAGTAAATCAACAAATAAATGACATCTATTCTTAGGATTCTATTTGTTTCTGTGTATTTTTAATACCCTGAAGCAAACTCCATCCACCACATGCTGCTTGCCTGAGTTTTCCAAATTATTTCCAGAAAGATCAACTCATTATTTTTATTAGTGCTCTGATTTCAAAATCACATAGGTTTTGAACAATCTGTCCTAGAATGTGAGGATTTTTATACCTGTATATACCGTATACTGCCTACTCAGGCTAAAAATCAGCAAGACTTCTAAAAGGATCCATTTTAGAAGCTTTCCGAATTATAATACGATGGAATTCAATGTTCTCTCCTCTTGTATGTGGATAAAAAACCCTCTCTATGGGCAACACCTCGGCTGTACATATAAACTGTCCACAATTCAACACAGAAGCTCTTTAGGACTTTCCTCTTCAACTCTGACAGCGTATGACACAGCTGTTCTCATACCATGCCTGTAATCCCCGTTTTAATCTTTCTGATATTTTCATTACGTTTTCATTTACGGAAGACTATCAAGTAGTGTGAGTCCTTCAGTCTGACAGAATTTTTAATTTCTTTGCAAAAAATAAGCTTAGATGCTTAAAGGTGTCAGTATATTTAGAATTGTACATATCATAAAGGCTAAGATCAGTGTAGTTGTATTACCAGGGTAACACCCGGGAGGGCTTTGACGATAAGCAGTAAGTCAGTGGAGAGGAAAGCCTTGAGCACACAGAGGAAGGATAAATCACGAGACTTCACAGGCAGCCTGACTACAACAGAAAGAAACAATGGTGGATGGACGAGGCGAAACAGGCCAGCAAGGGGAGATGAGAGAACCTTGACTGCTAAGCTGAAACCGATTATGGGCAATGTCATGATAACAATAGGCTTTTGGAAAACTCATTTTCGCATGTCGATATTTATCTTTCCAGTCCTCATGTTTTGCACTAGATTGTTACTATTGTTCACTCTCATCTCTAGGATTCAAAAGATAAGTAGAAAACAGAACGTAAAAGAAAAAATATTCTCTCTATTGGGTGATTCCAAAATCTTCAATAAATTATACTTGTGATTATTCTAAATGAAACAGGGAATCTTGAAAAAGCAGATTTTAAAAAGATGTTTTTCCTAAATACTTACCCATCCGTTAATATGCAATATTTGTACTTTGTTCCTAACTCCTTCAATTTCATCCAGTCAATTACTTTTTTCAGTACCTGAGGGAAAGTATCAGCTCTGTCTACCTGATCCTGAGGGTATAAAAACAAAAGATATGAAAATCAGGGTAACTACATGTAGTCCTACAGGACACCTAAACGTAAACTGGAAGGAAATGGACAATATGAAAACTCTTCATAATTTGCCAGGCTTCAATACATCTGCCACCTAAAATTTCACTTAAAACACTTAAAAGTTGTTTATTAGGGGCAGTGATGGTACATGCCTATAATCCCAGCACTCAGGAGGCTAAAGCAGAAGGATTGCTGGGAGTTCAAAGTCAGTTTCACTGTGTATGGACTACACAGTGAAACCCAGTCTCAAAAAGACCAAAAAAAAACCTGTTTACTGCCAGCTGTGATGGTACATGCCAGCAGTCCTAGCAGTCTGAGAGGCTGAGGAGGAGGATTAAAGTTTGAGAATAGCCTGGGCAACCTGGCCACTTACTGGGACCCTGTTTCAAAATACAAATTTTAAATCTTGGTATTTAAGATGTGGTTCATTTTTAGTTTGGTTTTTGAGACAGGGACGCTCTGTATAGCACAGGCTGGGCTTGAACTTGACTGCCTTGAACTCACAGCAATCTTCCTGCTTCAGCCTTCCAAGTGCTGGGATTACAGACGTGTGCCATGAGGTCTAGCCCTCAGTGACTCACTTTTTACAAGGCCTCAACCCAGTGGTTTACTGATTAAGAGTACAGAAAAAGGAAATCTCTTAAGAAATGAAAACCACAATTGCTCAAGTGGTCTCTCCAACTCAAGTTTTACGCCTTTCCACACCATACTACACACCCTGCCAGTACAGGTTTCCTAAACAGTAAATCTGACCTGTCAGTCACCCATGTCTAAATGTCTGCCACTTTCCAAGGCTTTCAGGGTAAAAGGACATGTCAGACACTGGGTTCTCACTCATCTCTGTAGACCCCAACCATTTTCTCACTAACCTACACAAATCTGGGCCATCCTGAGCTACATGCTGTTCTACACCTGAAATGCCCATCACTTCCTTCCTGCCTATTTACCTATCAAAAGTCAACTGAGTTAACAACAAGGATAGAGCTTGTCCCGGGGTAGCGCTGCCGCACACTGAAGCTGATCTGGTTTACATCTTTAGATGTCTCCAGAAGTCTCATGTGTTCATAGCAAGGGTGTTTCTCTCTCAGCTCCTCCCTTCACCCTCTCTCCGCTTCCTGGAAGCCATGAGGTAAGCTTACCCTCTGCCTAGACCCTTTCGCCATGCCCTTGTGTTTTAGAGCCAGCAAGTAGGCACTAAAACCTCTACAAATATAAACCTTCCTTCCTTTCAGTTGCGAGTGCCAGGAATTTTGTCCCAGCAACAAGAGTGACTACAACAGAGTTTGTTACCAGGAGTAGGTACTGCTCTCATTGTGCCTTATCATATGGCTCAGAAACCTCTGGAACTGGTTCAAGGGAGGAGTCTGGAAAGATTTGGAGATGCCAGCTAGAGGAGGAGCCCTAGAATGCTATAAACTGAGCTTGCTATGAGATACTGGTCAGATCACAGAAGACCAGAGTACTGAAAAAAATGCAGATAGGTAAAGGCTAGGCTCAGGAGTACGCCACTGGCAGAGGGGCTCCAGACCATGTATGTTATGCTCTGGCAGAAAATTTGTCTCCATTTTTCTCATGTAGGAGACTAAGATGAAGGACACCAAACTAAGTAATCTGGATCAGGAAAATCTAACACGGCGCAACACTGAGGGGTGTCGCACAGATATTGTTGGGCGCTTTGTGAGGTTAATCCGGAAAATTAGAGCAAAAAACCCCATTTTAAATGTTTTCAGTCTTGCCAGAAAGTCAGTACCTCAAAAGCTGGAGCAGAGAAGAGCTTGGTTGCTGAAAGGATTAATGTTAAAAAGAAGCCAAGTACTTCGGATCAGAGTAAAAGGAAAAATGCTTTCAAGTTACGTGAGGAGCAAGGCCCCAGTCTTCCAAGGCTCAGTCACAAAAGCAAAAAACTTGGTTTCAAGAAGAAAACACACAGCACCATTGCCACCTCCATGCCACTGCCCAGGGAGTCTGTTCCCGGGACTCAGTTCACAGCGCTCAGCCATCCAGGCCCTCAGAAGTCTGTAGACAAGATACCAGGAAAGCCTTGCTACGCTCACGCTGGCAGAAGAAGCTGGCATCATCCATGCAGTGCTGAGTTTACAGATATGCGCAGTGCAACAGCTGTGGGAAGCCTCTACCCAGACTTTAAGAGAAAGCCTACAGATGTGCAAGGTGGCGCACGCCTGTAACACCAGCACTCGTGAGGCTGAGGCAGAGGATCACTATGAGTTTGAGGCCAGTCTAGTCTACTTCTGCTTAAAAGAGCTCAAGCCCAGTCTGAACCACATGGCGAGACCTTGCTTTGAAAAACCAAAAGCAAAGGAAAAAAAGAAAACAAAAGCCTACAAAGCCAGGCAGTATGTCCCTGAGAAGGCAGTGCATGAAGTTGTAAGGGTGAAGTCAAACGAGCAGTGGAAACCCAGAAAGCTGGAGAAGACAGAAACAAAGAACACCTGATGGAAGCTCAAGACGCGAGCAAGGCCAGCCCGTGAGAGCAGCCACGAGGGCCACGACCACCAGCAATGCTGCAGGGGCAGCCACCCGCGCCCTTCGGAGTTCACTTTTTACATCCTGCCCCAGGTGCTGGACTCGGCTACAGGAACTAATGTTTGCCCTGCTGGGCTTCAGCTGTGCTTTGGTCTCATTTCTTTTTATCTCCCTCTTCCTCCTTTCTAGAATGGTAATGTTTACCCTACGCCATCATATATAGGAAGTGTTCAAACTTTTTTCTTTTTTTTAACAAAGGCTCACAGATAAAGTTTGCCTGAAGTCTCAGAGTACTTTGAACCTGGACTTTTCAGCAATGCTGGAACTATTAGGATTTTGGCAACTTTTACACATGGACTAAATAAATTTTGTACAAATAGGTACACACCAGTCTTTTGGGGGCCAGAGGTAAAATACTACGGTTTCTAACCAGATGTTCCCCAACAGCCACATGTGCTGACAGGCAGAGTTTTTGGAAGATGATTGGATGATAAAGGCTTACAGCTGACTTGCTATTAGGAGACAGTCTGGTCAGCAGAGGTGGGTCACTGGGTGTGGCCTGCAAGGGTATATATCTTCCTTTTCAGCTCCTCTCCTCACTCTGCTTCCTGGATGCTGTAAGCTAAACAGCCTTCCTCTACCCAAGTCCTTCCACCACGCCATTTTACTTTGGAGCCAGCTCATTACGGACTGAAATTTCTACAAACTGTAAGTCAACATAAACTACTTCTTTTGGTTGACGTTTTGAGTATTTTGGCCCAGCAATAAGAAAAGTGGCTAAGACAGAACCTTTTTCATAGAATCCCAGAATAATTTGATAAAACAGACTTGTCATTACTTGTCACTCTTCTTAAACATACTGTGACCGCTGGCTGATTCTCTGACCCCCTGGCTTAGACTGCAAAGGAGCTGAGGATAAAGGCCGACTCAACTGTCTCTGAATCCCTAGTTCCTTGGCATATTATAGTAGGCACTCAAATATGTATGGAATGAGTAAATAAATGAAAGAAATAAATGAACTAAAGACCTACCTGTTAGAATACAATGAAAAACCACAGCTTAAAAATAATAATAGTTATATATAGTCAGGACGTAGCCAGACATAGTAACACATGCTTATGATCCTAGCATTCAGGAAGCTAAGGTGGGAGGGAGATTGTAAATGTCAGGATAACCTAGAGTAAGGAGTGACGGCAGGAAGGGTGGAAGGGAAGGAAAGAGAAAACACAAAGGGAGGGAGAAAGGAAGGAAGGGAAGAGGGAAGAAATACAAAGAGATACTAACTACTGTGTGTTAATGTTTCATTTAACCAACCACATCTTTAAATCCACCATTACAACTCCTTAAAGGGAAAGGCTGAGTAAAATGTTACACTAGATGTAAATGTGCTTTTTGTTTTTCTTTTTGAGAAGACTCAAAGTCTGCTGAGCTCTAGTAATCCTCCTACCTCAGCCTCCCATAGGATTATAGGTACGTATCACTGCAACAGGCTGTAAATACTTTCTTAAATTGCTACAATATGAAAGATCTTTACCAAACAAAAATACCAGACTAAGTTGATCATGGCAATAATATCTTAAACTATCTATAAAATAAATTCTTAATTGAAATTCCATTTTCAAATGTTAGCAAAAAGAAAAGAGAATTATTACCTGAGTAATTCCAGTAAGTCTGATACAAAAATCAGAAAGTTGTGTGTTAATTTCTGGTCTCACATATTGCTGAAATGTATCTTCCTACAAGAGGAGAATAACAATCTTAAAGTAGTTTATGTGACATATTCAGTTATGGCACAGATTTTTCTAGAGTGCGTAAGGATAATTTTCCATACTTAAAATGTTCTAACTTTTTAATAAAAAAAAAAAAAATCACTTCTTTTTTATGAGGAAATGGAACCTGGGGACTGGACCCAGGCCCTTCACACTGAGCTAGATCCCCTGTTATTTTTCCTTTTTTCAGACAGGGTCTTGAAAGGTTACTAAGTACCCTGAACTAGGCTTAAACATGCAATCCTCCTGGCCTCAGCCTTCTAGAGCACTGAGATTACAGGAATGCCCAATCACTCAGGCCAGGCTTTAAAAAAATCACTTATTTCATAGCTAAAAAAAAAAAAAATTTTTTTTTTTTTGGTTTTTTTTTTTTTTTTGGCTTTTTCCTTTTTATCGGTACTGGGGATCGAACTCACGACTGCCTGCTTGCAAGGCAGGCGCTTATGCCGCTGAGCTAACTCCCCAGCCCCAGCTTAAAAAATTTTTGTAAGAATGTTTTGGTTATGTCTTGTACTGAGTAACCACTTTGAAAAAAAAATACATAGTGTAATACTTATTATTCTCTTGTTATTCGGTTATGAATTTTTTTCATGAAATAAATTATTTTTAAAATTTAAAACATAGCAAATATCTGAAGCCAATCCTTCAAATAACTATTTAAAAAACATTTTTCAGGCTGGGGATTTAGCTCAGCATCACAAGTACGTGCCTGGCAAGTGTGATGCTGTGCGTTCGATCTCTAATACCAAAAAAAAAAAAAAAAAAATTTTTTCTGGGGCCAGGGATATAGCTCAGCAGCATAGCACCTGCATGAGATCCTGAGTTCCCAGGATACCCACCCCACCACCACAAAACAAAAAAATAAAATATAACGAACATTTTCCTGAGAAGTAAAACACTGATAACTGTGCTTATACTATTATAACACCTACTGCATGCAATCTATACTTCAACATGCAAGAGTTTTTACAAGAGTTGAAGAAATGTCAATACTTCCTTAATCACTTTACAATCTTAATCACTTTACAAATGTCAAGACTCAATTAAACTCAATTTTAAAAAGCCAAAATGTAATTATACGGCATACAGCAGTTTAAGGATAATACTATATTTATATGAGGTGGTGGCTGGGGATGGAACACTGGGCCTTTGCACAGAGCTATATCCCCAGTCCTTTTTAATATTGTGTATTTAGAGACATGTTCTGACTGAGTTGCTAAATTGCCCAGGCTAGGTCTGAACTCATGATCCTTCTGCCATAGGCCTCCCAAGTGCTGGGACCAGGGGCCTGGACCACCACATCCAGCTATTGACAGCGTTTTAGAAATTCTTTCAGAAGCTGCATGCTAGTCTTTCTGTTTTACGCACAAGACTCTGTAAACTAATAAGTAAAATCAGTATCGTCATCAGATTCTCATCTCTAAATGCTTTTTCTTCTAGCCCAGGGTTACTTCTCCAAAACAGAACACATTGACTGACTTTTTAAAAGTTAAGGACTTTTTTTTTCCTAGAACAGGGTCTTACTATGTGGTTTAGGCCTTAAACTCACCATGTGGCCCAGGTTCGCCTCAAACTCATGGCAATCCTTCTGCCTCAGCCTCCCAAGTGCTCCCAATTTTGCCAACCAGCAAAATTAAGGACAATTTCAAAGCATAAAGATTTTAAAGCAGCAACTATTATTCCCAGTTAGATATGAAGAAAAAGATAATATATTTTGTGGTAGATTTAAACATTAATAAAAGTGAATGTTTATACTTCCTAGGAATTCTTGCTACACACCCAATCTATTAAAGAGATGAGCTCTAAGTGATTAAGAATTATAAAAAAGGTGGGGTGTGGTACTGCATACTTGTGATTCTAATTCTCTGGGAGGCTGAGGCAGAAAGATGACAAACTCAGATTCAACCTGGGCAACTTAATTACGTTCCAAGAACCTATCTTACACTATGAATTGTTTTAGAGTGGGGATGTAGTTCAGTGCAGAGGCCCCGGGTTCAATCCCTAGTACTGGAGGGGGAAACTATGGAAGAGTAAAAGTAAAGCATAGCAAAGAACACTTCATTCTCAAAAGTTAGATGTTCTTTATGGACCGGACATAACACAAAAGGAAGAATTCCACTTAGTTGGGTGTCATAAACAAATGAATTCTAAAAGTCCTTTTTAAATATAAATAATATGTCCTATACTTTTAAATAAAATTTTTTCAGTATTGTTATAACTTTTATCATTATAATCAGGCAGTATTAAATACAGTACAACAAGCATTAGTTTGTTTTTCAACACTTAAAGATTGTGTATGCTAGGCAAGTGGTTTACCACTATGCTAAACCCCAGCCCTGTTAATTTCATTCACTTTTTAATACTTTTAGTAGAATGTTATAATTTGCTTTTTAAACCAAGTCATCATTTAAAAAGGACAGCATACGGGGCTGGGGATTTACTCAGCGGCATAAGCGCCTGCCTTGCAAGCAAGACAATTGTGAGTTCGATCCCGGTCCAGTACTGATAAAAAGGAAAAAGACAAAAAAAAAAAAGTACAGCATGCAAGAAGGAAACATGGACTATATGAGGTGTTTGTAAGCTTCCCTTTAAATAGTAAGCAGACACTTAGAAGTGAGATTTAAGGAGAGACTAGGATTAAGAGACTCACCCAGCAATACTCGGGGAAAACACTTAGGGAAGTAAGAGGTACAACAAGTCTGACATTTTTGAGAAACAAAAACAAAACGATCTCACTCTTTTCTTTTCTTTTCAACCCAGGAATACTGCACTTTGCTACTTGCTCAGCTCTTTTCATTTTTGTTTTGTGAGATAGGGTCTTGCTAAATTGTGCGGGCTGAGCTTGAATTTGCAGTCTTCTTGCTTTGACCTTCCAGAGTGCTGCGATTACAGGTATGTACTACCACAATGCACTTCCCACTTTTTGTTGTTTTGAGACAGTCTTGCTATGTAGTTCAGACTGGCCTTGAACTCACTATGTAGCTGAGGCTGGCCTTAAACTAGGATGATCCTTCTACCTCGGCCTCTCAAGTACTGAGATTACAGACATGTAACACCATGCCAGGATCACTCATATTTTTAAAGGATTACTCAGCTCACTATGTTGAAGGTGAGTAAGGTTTCCAGGATAGAAACACAGACTATTAGATGGCAAATGTAGTAAATCAGACAAAAAAAAAAAAAAAAGACTGGGGCTCAGAGTAGTCACAGCTGTGAAGTGACTGGGCTCTGCATCTATCGGAACGCAGATGCAAGCTGGAATCCCTAACGGGCTAGATGTGCCATGTGAAAGAGACAGGAATCCACAGTGACTACAAAGTCTGAAATTGAGCGGTAATAGACACTAGATTGATACACGTAATCCCAGGATCACAAACTCAAGGGGAGCCTGGACACCGTGTCCCAAAACTTAAAATATTAAAAAAAATCCCAAACACAAAAAAAGGCTGGGATGTAGCATAGTGCTTCCTAGGTTTAAGTCCACAAAAAATAAAAATAAAATGAAATAGACTAAGGGGAGAAAAACAGTACATTTGTATGTTATATGAAAAATAAAGTAGAAATAAGTAAATAAGTCTACAGAACAGGGGAGAACTGCTAAAGCAAGGTCCTTGAATAAGTGAAATGGAATGAGCTATACAAGATTATATTCCTTCGTAGCTGCCATTTTTCCTTTTAATTTACTGCTCTTTAATTGGGTGTAGATGGGAAAATTACAGAAACAGGCTGCTAAAGAATATAACTAAAAGTCTCTGGAGAAACTGGGAAGCAGAGAGGACCAAACATATGTCTATATATGGTCACCTCCTGACTCTCCTGATTCCATTAGGTACCGATCCTGTGGCTTCAGTGACGACTCCCAGGAGGAGACTTACGAATGAAAATGGAGCAAGCATCAGAAACGTCAAAAGAAATTCCCCAAAACACTCAAGAATCAAACAGAAAAGAAAACCAGGAACCAGGGAAGTTTTCAAGCCAGTTCATTAAACCATGGAGTGACCAGGAAATCCAAAACTTCCTTGAAGAATGGGAATTTCTTGAATATGAAATGTACTTTCCAATAAAGAAGAAAAATTACTTAATGTCAAAAGCAATTGCCCAGCGTCTCAGTCACAGAGGCATAAGAAAGAACTGGAAAAGGTGTTTATACATGCTGATGAGTCTGCAGGATTTATACTGGACTATTTGTGAGGCCAATGAGAAACCCAGGAGGCACCCCTTGCCGTGTCCTTATGGAGAGGCCATACACAGGATCCTGGGACACAGATGGGATGGCAATGCTGCCTCAGGTCCTTTCTGGGAAGATGCTGTTGTCCCACCTCCTGAGTACTACCCCCAGTATGGCAGTATGCCCGTTCCCTTTGAGGAGCCACTGTGGACTGCTCCTCCTGTCCCCTTCATGGAAGACCCTTGGGTACCCAGATGGGAACCTTGGAATATGAATGCCCCATTGGCAATTCCACAGCCACTTCCTGCCTTTCTCCCAGAAGCCCCTGTTGCCTATCAGCCAGGAGTTGACCTCTTCTGGCACTGCCCATATCCTCAACAAGGACAATTACAAACTCTTCCCCTGAGTTCTGCCTGAAAGTAACAGAATAATGTGATTCTGTAACTGGTAACTCCTCCTTTCTTTCCCCAGTAGATGTTGTCAGAATAAAATATGAAGCAAATGACAATCAAATAGGCTGTGAAATATTAAAAAAAAATATGTATTTTCATGCACAAAGTCTTACTTATACTTTCATGCAAAGTCTTCTTATATTTCTGTCAGTGTAATCTGTTGCAACAGGAATATCACAGACATGATTTTTGGGTAGATGAGATGTTATGACACAGCCTCACTTAGATCTTGTAAGGCAAGCAGTATTTTGGGGAACTCATTCTATTTGTTCTTAAACTAAGAATGTACTGACCATAATTTCCCCAAACAAATATATGACTTAGAAATGGTTTCTGCCATAAACTTTCCATCAGGAAGATGGCCAGCAGCCTAGGATACACAAACGAGTTCAAGGCCTGCCTCAACTATATAGCAAGACTCTGTCTCAAAAAAGCAAAAAACAAAATAAAATTTAAAAAAAGATGGCCAGTTTTTTCTGTAAATTATCATATTTTGAGATGAGAGTACACATTTGGCTGTACTGGTAGGCTGCAACCCTGACTGCACACTATACCACCTGCAAACTTTTCAAAGCATATTCTACCACAGAACAACTACATTAGTATCTGTGGGATCAGGAATCAGTTTTTTGTTCTATTTTCTTTCTCTCTCTTAGCTTCCCAAGATTCCAATGTCCACAAAGATGTTCTAAAGAAACAGAAAGGGAAAAACAAACAAACAAAAACCCCTGTAATTACTAGAGAGAAGCAGCTTCAGAAATTGCTTTACTGAATTTCCTATTAAGTTGATATAAAAGCAAAAATTCATAACAGCAAAAAGAATTTCTAGCTAAAATGAAAATGAGATCCTATTACTAGAGAACATCAGAATCACTACTATGCAAAATAAAATATAGCAATTCACTTACTATTTCTAAGGTGTGCGTATTCAATAAAACAACAGGAAATTCAATTATTTCATGTATAAACTCAGGTGGGTTACCCTCTTCACAAGTGGCTTCAAAGTCAATAATACAAATGTAGTCATAGTAACTGTCAGCACAATTACTCTCTTTCAACATCAGCTTCTGCTTCTTATAATAGTTTTTCAGTCTCTTCTTTAGTACATCCTTTACTCCTCTAAATTACAAAAAAAAAATATAATTTAGTAAGGTCAACCTTCCAGACAAGAATCACAACTCTTACCTGTGGGCACTGGACTGAACATTGACAGTCACTGCATAATTTAGCCAATGCTAAAATAAAGGAAAGCAAGACTTGAAGAGAAGTTAGCAAAAAACTAATATACATCAAACATTTATTACTACATGAACATTCTCCTTTACAATAGTTTTTCATTTTAGTAGTACAGTGGTACCTCAGTTTATAAACTTAACTTGTTTTACTATTCTGGGAATAACAATTTCATTTGTGTTTGTGTGGGGAAGATGACCATAGTCATATTTGTCACCAGATGCACAGCTTGTGAATGCAAGTAAAACTGCCAAATGCTTTCATTGGTGAACTGAACTGTCTGCAAACAGCATTCATAAACTGAGGCATTAACATACAAAAGAGCATTTTCTCCAATATACTGATATATAAACCTAGAAGTCACAAGCACTGCTCACTTACTTCAGTGGTACTTGGCTGAACCCTATATTGTAGTAAAAACAAGATGTCCATTGTTATCAATCTGTCATGTCATGCGAGTCATTTTGGTCACACTGTCAATTAGTAACTTAAAATATAAAAAACAAACACACACTATTCTTTTTAGCCTTTTTTGGCAGGTGGAGGGCAGTGCCAGGGTACTGAACCCAGACCTTTGAGCGCAGTAGGCAAGTGGTCTACCCGTGGGCCAAACCTCCATCCCACTCTTTTTTTGCACTGAAGACTGAACCTATGGCCTTCACATAGGTTACACCCCAGGCCTCTTTTTATTTTAAAACAAGGTTTCACTAAACTGGCCAAGCTGGCTCCATCTTGCCAATGTCCTATTTCAGTCTCTAAGTGCTAAGTTTCAGCACTGAAAAGGAATCTCAATCAAGAAAAACACTGATAATCAACCAACTGATTGTTTTAAGATAAAACATTTTCATGTTTTAGATCTTCCAAATTACTGAAACCTGGGGCAGGCAGGGTGGGGATCGCTTGACCTGTGTCATATTGAGATACCAAGGATTGTGAGTGACCTCTGTGTCACGTAGTAACTTTACATTACTTTGTCTTCCTTTTTTGTTTTCTTCGAGAAACCACACTGACTAGAGTTGCCTGTAAACTTAGTGGTACCTATCATCTTTAACATACTACCCATTATTACCAATTCCAACTCAGAAAAATATTCAGAATCTGGTTCTCCTTATTTTCTCTACTGTGGCTTCCATTAGCTTCCACTACACAGCAATTCCTCTACCTCATTCTTTATCTTACCTGAGAACTGAGCACTACTTGCCAGTTTCCTGCCTCAGCATCTTTAGTGGCTCTCTTGCTTACAGGGTAAAATGGAGACGTCAGCATGGGGTTCCTTCACAGCTTGGCTAACGACCTGTCATTTCTGGTTCACTGTCAAACTTTCCTGCTCCCCCACTGTACACCTGTACAGCATTTGCTAAAGATAAACATAGTGTACACGAAGGCCTAACTCTGGGGTATGCTTTCATATTCTATTAACTGAGGCTGCACAACAGTCAAAGAAAAGGTAAGAACATGTAGCAGAAAACATACAAACGCAGAATTTCCATTTTTTAGTTCTTTATGCCTGAAATACCCTCCCTCCCTTCTCTGGCACAATTCCTTTGCCATTTTCCCGAATTCCTGGGATAGATTCTCTCCTCTGTTTTTACGCTACACTTGGCCAGACCACCAATGCAGTGTTAGCTATTCTGATTTGTGATTATTTTTGTGTATTCCCAAAACTGTGAGGTTTCCAAAGTGAGGAACATATCTGTATTTACCTTAAAAACTGTAATGCCTAGTGTAGTGCTTAGAATTCAATACAGGCTTGTTGAATAAATATATACATGTACATCTAGATCTCTAGCTCCCATGGAATCCAAAAATAAACAAATGATCTTCACACCTGGGAAGGACAAAAACTTTACTCAGAAATTTTTCTGTAAGCTACAGGTTGTACCTTTAGAAAGAAATGGGGGAAATAAAAGTCAAAATTTCTTCACAAAATATGTAGGCAATCTACACAGGAGGAAAAAAAGTACACTCTTTTGAAAATAGGTTATACTTAAAGCAAAGAGAAGTAGGAATTAGAGGTGCATGCATCATACCTAGCAAAGATGATTTTTAATTGTTCAGTGTTTCCAGGATATTCTAAGACAATCATGTACTATATTTGTAATTTTAAAGTTTAATTACCTGGTTTCAAGCTTGAATTCTGAAAGTTTAGCTCTGAGTTCTTCCTTACTCATTCTATTAATACAACCATTTGTAATAGCAATCTCTTTGTAAACTGGGTCACTGAAATCACTTCCATTGGAGGTAATGAACTTAGGTCCTTTTGTTTCTTGGCCATCAAACCTGCATGGTTGCTTTTTCTATAGGGAAAAAAAAAACCACAGTGGAAGACACAGCCTACAATTTTATATTTAAAGACTCAAATTCCTAAAGCATCTTCATTCTACATGTTCAATGAAAAGTGCAACCAATGGAAGGAGGACTGGATGGGAACCAAATTTTTCCAACATAATCTATCCTGCTTTATTCTGATCCTAAGGTTCCTCAAAGACAGTGAACTTAAGTAAAAGGAGCCACACAGCGCCAGCTGATCATTTATGGTTAGCCCTTGACTTGGAGCCTCTGATCTTCTGTTTTCTCATCTATAAAGTAACGTGTAATTGTTTCAAATGGTATTTAGCAAAACTAAACAGTATCAGAGTAGCAGTATAAAATGAGACCACTTACAGCAGGCTTCTAATACCAGACTGAGAAGTGACATCTAGTAAATGGCAACTTATTACCATCACGTTATAAAACTATCTTTATACAAACCATATCCCAAAACTTACAAAAAAAGCCAACTTTTAAATGAATATTAGTACTGCATGCATAAGTCAGTGACTTCCTGAGAATTTCTTAACCTGACTTCATTTCACAAAGTTAAAAGGAACTGCCCAACACTGAATGGGACCAAGAGGAGATAAGGATAGAAAGGGGAGAGGAAGAGGAAGTAAACAATTACAGTAAACGTTTTATGGACACATACTATCTACCATGAATGTAATCAGTAACACAATGAACATTTACTAAAAATATTTTTTAATTTTAAGGCAAAAAAAGAGAAACTGCCCAACATAAAATCAAGACCACAAATATAGTTCGAAGCTTCCTTGTAAGGAAAGAAAACACACTGCTTCCAAATTCACAATTTTCAAATTACACATACACCAGTTATTCAGAACTGTAGTTATAAACCTTTTTTCTCAAATCAAAATCTATTTTAAAAAATGATTCAATTGTATTCTCAGGTAGACCAAATGTTAAGTTCCAAATACTTTTTTATAAGTTAGTTATTTTCCACAGGGAACATAAAAAATTCTGCTCCAGAATTCTCAAAATTAAGTTTGCCATTTACTATTAATTTATTAATGTTCGTGAATTTAGTCATAATTTATCACATTTACTACATAAATTGTCTCCTTGTAAACTCTAGTATGGATTAAGGAGTGATAACCACAGACAGTACCTGGCTCAGAACTGATACCAATGGTTCAGGGACTGTTTCTTACTCTCAGTTTTCATTTAATGCAACATTTGTTTACTGGAAATGTAATGTTATGTGCTGTCCCTTCACCCCCAGGGCTTCACCTCAGACAACAGTGAAATGGTAGGAAATACACAAAACAAAACGCTACAGAGCAATGACTAGGGGAACACTCTCATATTCAAGAAGACTCGAGCTTGTAGCAAGGAAGGATATGAAGCCTTGTGACTGGTAGGGGTCCTCCCACTATCTACTTTTGCCCTTTTCCTGTATATCTTTTTTTCATCCCATATTATCTATTAAAAAAAAAAAAAGAAACAAATGCATGTTAGTATTCAAAGATTTTACGACTTAAGATTAAAATTCTTCCAAAAGAGTGCTGTTAAAATATAAAAATGTGTCAGCTGATGGTTTACAAAACACCTGCAACTAGGGATAATGGAAATTTACTAGCTGAATCCCAACAGAAAACTCTGAGATTTAAAAAACTTGTATGCTCATTTAAGAATATCTAACAATAAGCTTTTAGACAAACACCTCAGTCTATAAAACCAAGCTGGAACACAGATCCAGGCTTCAAGTTCCCTATCGCAAAGTTTCAAGACTTTCAAATGAAATATATTAATACATCTCTCTTAATAGAAAGGATCTTTGAACATTATTTTTTAAATTGACTTAGACGATGATGTTACCCACAAAAAGGATCTCAGAATGAAGAAAATGGAGTGGAAAGTTGCTCCTTATAGAAAGCATATTGAAAGCTTCTGGCAAAGGTAGCAACCTTGAGGAGGAAAAGCTTGCATAACAAGGGGAACATACAAAGACCCCTTCGGAGAAAAGTCCTTACATGAAGGTGCAAAAGAGCAAGAAAGCCTCTTGCAAATAGCTCAACATGTATCTGTTACTGCAAGAAAGACCGATTTTAATGTTAGATGATTTATAATTCGTAGCGACAATCAAGGGTAACTATATTCATTAAGTGAGTCAGTTTTAACTGTTTTTGCGTGGGGCGTGGTGGTGCATGTTTGTCATCCCAGTACTCAAGAGGCTGAGACAGACGATCGGTGCGAGTTGGAGGCCTGTCCTAATGGCACTGTGAGATCCTGCCTCAGAAAACCAAAACAAAAAAAAAGTGTTTCCGCAACTTTGCCACCGTAATGAGGATGTACCAGTGAGGCACCAAAATCATTGTATACTACGTAGTCTAAATGAGATACTAGGAAATGGGTAAAAACAGAGGCAAAAATCCGATTAATAGGCAGACACCAGTCAGGTTGTTAGGGCTAATAGGAAAGAGGCTGCTCATCCTACTTTGGCTCGTTCACATTCAAAAAACCTAAGTGGCATGTGTGGAGCACACGATCGTTTTTAAACATAATCTTAACGATAATCGATTCGGGTTTGCTAGGATGACAAGAGCAGCAGTGAGCACAGAAAGTCCAGAGCAAAATTCCTATTCGCCGCTCTCAAAACCAGAGCTCCTAGAACTCCACCTACTCACAGCCACCCGTGAGGGTCATCCGCAACGGGCCTGGGGCAGAGGATGGCGCGCAGGCTGCAGCTGCCCCGACCCCAGAAAAGAGCAGACCGAGACTGGGCAGGACGGGGAGGGGCAGGGCCGAGCACTCACCGCGGGATCTGGACGCCGCGCCTCCCCGCACCGCCGCTGCGCCGGAGCCCCGGCCTCGCCGTCCGGCGGCCCGCTCTCCTCAAACTCCATGCCGGCTCTCACGCCACAAGGCAATCGCCAGGGCCGGACAGTCGTTCACTCCCACGCCAGCAAGCCTCAAAACCTCGCTTTTCTCTGCTGTGAAATTACTGGGTTAGCGTTCCCGCGGCCGCCGCCACACAAACTGCTGGAGGCACCGCCCACTTCCGGAGCGTGTGGCGTGCGCACGCTGCGCAGGCGCAGTGAGCGGACGCGCGGGAAACGCGCCGTGGGAGGCGGAAGAGGTTGGTGCGCGCGCGGGAAGTGGTAGAGACGGTGAGGACGCGGGCTGAGTTTAAAAGCTTGGCACTAGGGGGCGCGGTCTGGGTAAATCGCCAACTCAATGTGTGTGTGTATTCCTCAGGCCTGAATCCAGGCCTTCTCGATGAACTACATCCTCAGTCCTTATATTTTAACAAGGTCTTAGTCACTGAATTCCCATTAGTTTTTGTTATCCATTAGCCAAAGGCTTCCGCTTTCAGGCAACAAGAGGAAATGGGCTGCACTGAGTTCCTTGTGCTAAGCAATTGGCAAACTGAACAAAACACAAAATATATGAAACTCCTCTTCAGCCTGGACTACAGATGGCTCGGCATTGTTTTACCTGAAAGAAGAGGAACGAGCAAGAAGAGCCCTGTATCCTCTTGACTTTCTGCCCGCATGCAGTTGTCAGTCTGTGGAACAGAAAAGGGTCCTAGAGTCTCCTGAGCTGAAAAGACAGGTGAGTTTAGGGACTTGAAAGACAAGCTCGTTGGCGTTTTGGAAATCTGCTTAGGAGAATCTTTGAGGCTTTAACTAAATAAAAATCAGGCTAGGAAAGAACAATTATTGGGGAGAAGTAAGGCAATGAATTAACAGAGCTTAAAAAAGACAGAGACTCATATGCACTCCCAGCAACCAGACCTTAAAGACTTGACCATGTGGAAAACACAAGAGACCAGTAAGTGACATGTCCCAGTAGTGCCCTACATTCATAGACTAGAATAAAAGCTATTGTAGGTCCTTCAAAAGCCCTGAAAAGGATCGTACTGCTCAGTGAATAACCTTACATTCAGCTGGAACACATCTACCTCTGCAACAAAATCCAGGATCCAACAGCATGAAATTCAGTCTGTTTTAGTATCTAGTAATATAATTAAAGAGATGCCAGGCACAGTTGTAAGACAGATTAGGGCATGACAAAGCTGGCTAGGGAAGTAGGTGTAACCTGTTAATTACAAGGTTGTAGGATACATGTGCAGAATAACTCCCAAAGCCCTGCATGTGAACTTGTTGTGAGAACTTGAGTGGGGTTTCAGTTGGATGGCCTACACCTGAAGTCAGCCTGAGGCGTGGGTAATACTCAAAGGACACTCCACATTGGGTTTGCCACTGTTCTCTAGCATGGATAGGCTGCCCTCACACTAGGGAATGCTACTTTTCCTACTTTTACTTGTCCCAAACTTGGTCTGCAGAACCTATTTCTTTTTCTCACCTTAATAAAACTTTGCTATCATTGTGCTTGTCTTGAACAATCCTTTGCTCGGGACAGAAATGACCTAGAAACCATCTCCAAAAGGAGACTCTAGTACCTCAAAATCCAATAACAGTGGTACATGGCTATAATGCCAGTAGCTTGGGGAATCTCAAGTTTGAGGCATACCAAGCAGAAGGAAAATATACAGTCCATAGAAACACACTCAGAAACATTATAAATATGATAGATACAATTTAACATTATAAATGAACATTATAAATGATCTCTATTCAGAGATTTAAAGGAAAGGGAAAGGAGAAATTGGAGAGAGAAAAAAAGAGAATTTCTGGAGATGGTATAATATCTAAAATAAACCAGAAGTAGTGGCACATAAATGTTATCTCAGCATTATGAGAGGCTGAGGCAAAAAGTTCATAAACTCAAGGCCAGCCTGGGCAACCTTAGATTGTATCTCGGGAAAAAAAGGGCTGAGAATGTAGCTCAGGGTGCAGGCTTCGGACTCAATCCCCAGTGCCACAGTAATACTAATAATCCATTAATTAATTAAAAGAGCTGGGAGATAGCTCAGAGCAAAGGCTCTGGCTCAATCTTTAGTACCACTAAAGATAGCTGAAATAAAAATTTCTTTAAATGTAATTGATAGCACATTAGGCAGTTTAAAAAAGGTTAATGAATTTGGAGGCATAGCAGTGAAAACAACTGAAAATTACACACAGAGGAAAAAGATGAAAAAAGTGAATAAAGTACCAGTGGCTCATGAGACAATATAAAGAGTGTATGTTTTTATATAATGTATAAAAAGCCCTGAAGAGGAGTAAGGAAACAGAAAAAGAAATTATGAATAAAAGGTTAATGAAATTTGTAACCTACAGATTCAGTAAGGTCATAGAAGCCCAAATAAGGAAAGTATACCAGAGCACAACATAAAGACATGGTGAAACATAGAGAAAATCTTAAAAATACCCAAAGGAAGAAAATAAACAGGGCCACTTTGCATAGGAAACAACAATGACACTTTGCATAGACTAATAGAATCTATGATGCCAAGAGAAAATGAAACAATTATTTCACTGTGAAAAGACCAAAATCCTCAAAACAAAGCCCTGTCAATTTCGTAATCAGCAGGGTGAAATGGAGACTGAGGCCAACAGGGCAGGAAACCCACATCCTAGAGTAGAGTCAGCCAAGCTGGGGGGCCTCAGACAACACCCCAAGTGTAGTGTGTGGCACGCTGAATGCTTAAAACTGGAGATCTCTCTGATCTCCTTCTTTTTCTTGCTCTTCTTTCTTTTAGAAGAAAAGCTAGAATTTCTCTTCTTCAGTGCAGGTTATAGGAAACAAGCTCTGCCTCCAAGCAAGCTACAAAACTTTTCAGTGTACAAGCTGGCCATAAATTCCCTCAAGTTCCCCACATCCCCCTACACTTAAGAGGAAGGAATGCTAGGCATACAGAGAGGCTAAGGAAAGTCGACCAACAGGCTTAGCCAGATTCCCCTGACTGGTGACCTTTATGTCATACTTTTTGTCCAGTCACATTTCTACCCAGCTATCCATTCCTCATGAAATCTAAACATAAAAAATGGAGAGTTTTTCCTTGGGTCTTTAAGTCTTGACTTCCGAAAGCTAACACATCACATTAAACTGATTAGAAGTTGAGTGCAATGGTACATGTCTAAAATCCCAGCACTTAGGAGGCTGAGGCAAAAGGATCAAGAGTTCAAGGCTAACTTGTGCTACATAGGAAATTCCAAGTCTGCACTACTTAGCTCCGGGGTTGAATTCCCAATAATGCAAAATGTTTGCAGTATGGGAAAAGTAAAACCCAGAAAAACAATGGGGAGCACAGGTGTGAAAAAGAATTGCAATTTTAAATAATATTGAAGCCCTCTCCATACCATTTCAAAGATAATAGCATTTGCACTATTTTAGCAAAAGAGAAGAAGCAAACTTTTAGAATGTCTGAGAGAAGAGAAGTTCAAACACAGCAAGCAACAAGTGGAAAGATCTTGAGCTGGGAGTGTGCCTGATTCATCCCAAATGGGTTACAAGTTGTGTGACTCAGTATTCAAATGACCAGGTGGAGCAGCTTCCATTTCTTATCTTTTCATTTGCCTGGGCCATCTTCAGGAGAACCTGGCCTAGTAATGGACACCTCTCTATTCAAACTGTTTGAAAAGTAGAGGTTTTTCCGGAATTAGGCTTGGAGTTGACAAGCACTAGTTCCGTGTATCTCCTCAGCCACTGCCACGGTCAGCAGCTCTTTGAATACTGAGACCCCCGCCCAGCACTTCCAGGTGGGTGACAAATAACTCAGGCTGGTGTGAGACCTGCCAAGGACCTCTGGGCCTCCGCAGTCACCCTGTTTTCAAACTGTTTTAAAATTCTCCACAGAGATGTTGTTCATCTTTACTAGACACATTATGGGATCTTTTGCTATTATATTTTGTACCACCATTCAATTTGTTTTTAAACAGGTCTCTAAATTACTAAATTGTCCAAGCTAGGCTTGAACTTGTAATCTTATCTCTCCATCCCAGAGTACTGGGGTTACAGATGCCACCACACCCAGTGTGAATGTTCTAAATTAATGTGAATGTTTTAAATTAAAATTTATGTTGGTTGTTTATTAGTATAAACAATACCATTGAGTTCCCAATCTTTAGTGGATTTTAATAGTTTTATTATTTTATTTATTTGTATAGCCAATTGTTTGTGTTATTTAGGTATTTCTCTAAGATGAATGATCATATAAACACAGCTCTAGTTCTACTGTTTCTGTCCTTATGCACTTACATTTTCTTTTCTTATTACAATGGCCAGTAGCATTTTTAACATCTTAATAGTAATAGTAATATGCTTGTTTCATGAAAAATGCACGTAAAGCTTCTAGACTTATTTTACTGTTTGTAGCATGTTCCAAGGAGTTTTCAATAATTTAAAAATATGACTTTATTTTTTTCCTGTATCCACTGTTGCTTTAAAAATTCTGATATCAATGTGATTCTGGCTCCTTTGAAGATTATCTGTTTTTTGTGGAGACTGAAAGTTTTCTATTTGTCATTGATGTTCTTAAATTTCACTATAATGGATCTAGGTGAAGATTTTCCATTCTTGTTCCTCGCTGGCTTTCCATGACTTTCAATTTAAGGTCTCTCATTTTATTTGTTAGGAAAATCTATCTGCATCATTTCATTTTTTTTTTTTCTCAGTTGTTTTGAAACAAGTTCTTGCTATGCAGTTCAGGTTGGTCTTGAACTCACTATGTAGCCCTGACTGGCCTTGCACTTGCTGCAGTCCTCGTGTCTTGACCTCCCAAGTGCTGGAATTACAGGCCTGCACTACCATGCCCACCCCCATTTATTTTATTTATTCAAAGAATAACCAGAGACTTTCAGTTAATTTGCTTCAGGAATGAAGTCTCATGACAAAGGCAGTCACGGATGGATCATTGTTAAGAAACAAAGACCACAGAGAACCACAGTGCTTGGCTGTGACTGAAAAGGGCTTGGTGTTTGCACATGCTTGGTACAGAGTGGTCAGCTTGGGTAAACCAAGAAAGACATCAAAGAAAATCAGTTTTTGGTTTTTTTTTTCTTAAAATTGACGATTGTAACTAAGCAGCCCCTGCAATGGGCTGCCACACTGCCAGCATCTTTGTGGCAGAATTTTGCTGAGGCCAAATTTATACCATTTTCTTCACTG